CCTGCTTCTCTTCAGAAGACTTCAGAGAATAATGCCCAATTGTTTATTTAAACATTTTTTAATTTTAACTATTTTTTAAGGGTCTCCGAAATATCCCAAAAAAAAATCAAATATACAAACAGAAATATACAAAAGAAAAAAAGAAAAAATAGTTTAAATTAAAAAACGTTTAAATAAACAATTGGGCATTATTCTCTGAAGTCTTCTGAAGAGAAGCAGAGTTTTCAAATTGAAAAATTTTGATTTCCATGGATTCTATGCCATTTCTACGAAGTCTTTTTTTCCCCATACAAAATACATGGGAAACTTTGAGCGCTTTGAGCGACCTCTAAATATATTTTGATTTTAAAATAAAAAAACAGGGGTATATTTTTTTCGGTATAGAACAATCCTAGGGGGTGAGAGCATTAAATTTCCGATTTTACTTTTCTCCCATACATTTTTGGACCAGAGTACAGAGACGCACTAAATTATTGGAACAGAGAATTTTTTACAATGTATGGATAATTTTTTTATTAAAATTTTCTGCGAATTTTGTATAAAAATATAGTTTATATTACAACAAAAACATTAAAAAAAATCGATATGCCTTGTGCACAACTCAGGAAAATTCAATAAATTTGCACACAATTTGGCAATGTACTATAACTAAGTGCCAGTTTGAAGTTGGTAAAAAGTCGAGTTGAGTTTTGGTAATTTTTTTCATGCAGTTTCTCATAAAAAAGACTATCGAACGCATGATTCAATAATAAAAGGTTTGCTCAGAAAACAGTTTTCTCGCTCCCTCTTGACAAAATCGGTACCCTTAGTAAAGCACTGTGTGTGGGTTCGTGTGTGTGTGCAAAGCTTTTGTAAGGGGGTGTCAAACTAATGCAGTGCACGGACTTTAACACTAGATCTACCAACTTTTTAATTGTAATCTATTTTCTACTATTTTTACCAACAAAGGCTAAAAATCTACCAATATTTTCCGGAAAGAAAAGAAAGAGATTTAAATGAACGCAGTGTATACAGATTTTTATCGGCGTAGCCAGAACGAAATTTGGGGAGGGAGGGGGGCTATACATTTTTTTCGAAACCAATAATTATTACTAAAAATTGGTATTATAGCTTAAAACTATTGTAACCAATAGAGCTATGTTGTACACAGACACATAAATACTTAGAAGTTCACAAAAGTTGATATAAAACTATTCGTCGATTTAAATAAATAACTTTTTACTGCACATGTTTTTGTGCGAGGAGGAAGCATTGAAAACCTAACCCCGGGCGTGTGAGGCTTTAACCCAAACTAAACTTCCTACCGTCATGTACCGTTCCCCACCCGGTACCACCGTCAAGGATTTCGTAGGGATAATAACACTGTGTGACTGATAAAGTTATAGATCTAATGATGCACAAAAAATATGCATACCTAGAATTTTGAATACCCCTCACAATCTGGACAAAAGGTATAAAAAAGCGTTTTTCGTAGTTTGAGCCTTATAATTGTTTGTAACGCAACCTTCAATACGTGCAATTCCTTGATTAATACAAGTCTCTAAAACAAAAAATTTTAACCTTTATAACTGCAACTTCAAAACAATTTTGCCTCAATACCTACAACTTTCTTTGTTTATGCATGCCACGCACACAAAATTTTAACTTTTTCATTTCTTTGATTAACCAGTATTCTGGAAAAACTACAAAGTGGTGATGAGCAGGACCGAAGAAAATAAGCAAGAAGAAAGCTATTTTAAGCGCTTAGATAAATTAAAACATTAGTAAATGTGCTTCCAAATATGCTCGGAAAACAACAAAAAATCTAAGTACAGTTTAAGGTTTTGTTTTTTATTCAGTTTATTTCACGGATCGGACGGAATTCGAAATTTTCATATTTCCAGCGGTGTTAATGCATCGATTTAGTTGTCACTTTTTTAATATTATTTAAAATAATGAGGATTATACTACACTAAGATATGAATCCGCCGCTGTGGTGTAGTGGTAAGCAGTGCGCGCTTCCACTCCGCAACGCCTGGGTTCAAGCCCTGGTCAAAGCAACATCGCAAAAAAATTTAGAAAAAGGTTTTTTCTTAACAGCGGTCATCCCTCGGTAGGCAATGGCAAACCTCCGAGTGTATTTCTGCCATGAAAAACAGCTTCTCATAAAAATACAATCGCCGTTCGGAGTCGGCGTAAAACTGTAGGTCCCTCCGCTTTGTGTGACAACATCAAGGCGCACGCCACAAATCGGAGGAGAAGCTCGGCCAAACACTAACATATGTGTAAGCGTCAATCTATTAAGATATGAATCCATAATTTCTTTTCAAGACTGAATTCAAAAAAAATACAAATAACTTCTTTTGGAAGGACTTGGAATAATTACTAATAGTTTTTTCAGCCTCATTATATTATGCGTATTTGTAGAAAAATTCTTCTAAACATTGTTAGATGTTTTATGAAAATGAAAGCCAATGTGCATGCAACGCAGAGTGCTTTTGTAGATTTTTATGTTAATTGTTGATGCATACCGATTACATATATTAAGTATGAGCCAAAAACAGACAGATAGCCAGTTTAGCAGCGCATGTACACGACTGAGGAGCTACTCTGATCTAAATCAATCAATAAACCGTTTTTTAGTTCCATTTGACAATGTGATTTTACCTATTTAACGACAAATGCTATTGAACTTGGCATAGTGAAAACCAGCCCTAACGTCCGTCACTATCTTTTTTGACCTTAAAATTCTACCCTCAACGTCAGCAAAGAATTTTTACTTCAAAATAAAATTAGTTAATGGGTTTTTAGAGCTTGTTATAATTTTAATGCAATAAATTATTGCAATAGTATTCATTTAAACATTTTAATGTTAATACAAAAAAAAATCATTAGCGTTATTTCTTCGGAATTAATGCATTGAAATTTTCATTTACATTAAATATCAAAAATTAATGCATCAATTGTATGCATTTTTCACAAGTCTGATATACATATACTTATTTCAGACGAAATACATTAGAAGTCTTACAATTGTATTTGTAGGCATTTATCAAGAATAGTCTTTATTCTGTTTAGTCGCCGTAAAGCAAGGACCGCCAACCTTCTGGTAATCGATTTAACAGTGGTAATTTAACTTTGATCTTTAGTGTCTCCGATTGACTTCACTTGACGATTTTTACCAATAAGTCGACTCCAGCGCCACCTTGCAGCTCTTTTTGTGCAAGAGTAGATATTGCCCCTACCGTTACCAATCTATACTAATTATATAAAGAGAAGTCCCTTTTTTTTGTAACAGGTAATCTCGCGAACAACTGGTCCGATTTTCATGAAATTTTGTATACAAATAGCTCTCGGAAACCACCAAAATTTTACTTTTTTCGGGTAGGTGGACCAGGGACCGGTCTATTCGAAAAAATCTTATTATAGTCCGATTTGCTTAAAATTTAGTACGTAAGTAGCTTTTTAGCATATATTAGCATTAATGACCCATTTTTTTTGGTAAGAGGTCCAGGGACCGATCTATTCGAAAAAATCGAATTTACGGTCCGATTTGCTTAAAATTCGGTGCGCAGATAGCCTTTTAGCATGTATTGGCATATGTGATCAATTTTTTCCGAGAAGTGGACCAGGGACCGATCTATTCCAAAAAATCGCATTTATGGTCCGTATTGCTTAAAATTCGGTACGTAAGTAGTTTTTTAGCATATATTTGGATATATGGTCCATTTTTTCCGAGAAGTGGACCAGGGACTGATCTATTCGAAAAAATCGTATTTACGGTCCGATTTGCTTAAAATTCGGTATGTAAGGTAGCTTTTTAGCATATATTAGCATATATGATCCATTTTGTCCGAGAAGTGGGCCAGGGACCGATCTGTTCGAAGAAATCGTATTTATGGTCCGATTTGCTTAAAATTCGGTACGTAGGTAGCTTTTTGCCTGGATAAGCTTATAGATTCCTGTTTTCCAATTTTCATGCAATTTCGAATATAAATAAAAAAAAAAGTGGGTAAATTTATCTATTGAAAATTGGTTGAAACGAACCTTTAAACCTTTATTGAAAGTGGTTCGGTTTTCGGTTCGGATCAAACATTTGTGGAAAATTTCGGTTCGGTTAATGGTTCAGTTAATTAATAGAAAAAAGCGGCTGTCCGGTTCAAAACCGGTTCACGTCCCTGGTAAAAATAAATAAAATAAATAAACTTTTTCGCTTTTCATTTTAAATCTCATAAATTGTTTATAATGACTTTTGCAAATTTTCAAAAGTTATCAAAACAAATTCTATGGGACTGAGACATATTATTTTCTAATTTTTAGTCCATTTATAAAAGCGTGGTAAGTTAAAAAGTTTTTTTTTATTTTATTTCTTTTATACTTTTTAGCCTTGTCTGTATAAAATTTTGCAATAGATATTAAAATAATTCAACTTGCAGTGAAAAGAGAACAGAAGACTATGCAACAAAATTTTGTATGCTCACGTTGAGTATATACATTAGGGTGGTCCAAAAACAGTAAAGTCGGAATTGGGATGCTCTCACCCCCTAGGATTGTTATATATCGAAAAAAGTATACCTTTTTGGTTGTTGTTGTTTCCGACAGGGTGGGTGTATGATGTATTATGGAACGAATTTCCGTCATCCCTTGTCAAATTTGGTTTGGTTTGTCTCCAAACCAAATTTGACAAGGGATGACGGAAATTCGTTCCATAATACATCAAAAAAGTATACCCCTATTTTTTATTTTGAAATCATAAAATATTTAGAGGTCGCTCAAAGCGCTCAAAGTTTTCTATGTATTTTTATATGAAAAAATACCACTCTTCGTAGAAATGGTATAGAATGCTTGAAAATCAATATTTTTCGATCGGAAAGCTCTGGTTCTCTTCAGAATACCCAATAATACCCAATTGTTTATTTAACCATTTTTTAATACTAACGATTTTTTATTGGGCTCCTCATTGAATTTTCCTGGGTTTTTGAAGGTTTTTGGCGGACCTATTAATTATAGTTGCGATGAAAAAATGGCTAAATAAACAATTGGCTGTTATTACTGGGAGTCCCCTGCAGATAAACAGGGTTTTCCGATAGAAAAATAATTATTCTTAAGAATTCTCTACCATTTCTACGAAAAGTTGTTTTTCCCCCATATAAAATACATGGAAAAATTTGAGCTCTTTGAGCGACCTCTAAATATATTTTGATTTCAAAATAAAAAAATTGGGATTCTATTTTTTCGGTATAGAACAATCCTTGGGGGTGAGAGCACGAAAATTCCGACTTTACTTTTTCACATGCATTTTTGGACCACCCCAATATACATCCATGTGCATGTATGTATGTGCATATAGCAGGAATTAATTTCATTTAAAGAAATGGCATGTCGTCCGTTTTCGCTGTAGCGCATGTAGTGCATATTTTTAGGCGCAATATTTTACTTCTCCTTGCGGGGCGACATCTATAGTCTTTGACAAGATACCTACGACGAGGTTGATATCTAGACTTTGCCATAAATACCTTTGCTATATTTATAGTATAAATGGTGGTCTGGACACACAACATTGCAAGTTGATAAAAGCGTTGTAATTAGCCAAATCGGTCCTGCCTTTCTCACGTGAAGCGATGACCAACGAACGCCATTTCATCTTAAAAACAGAAAGAAAGTTATAGCCGTTTTTTGGGTAAGGGACTGAGACACGCTATAATGTAATTAGTAAATTTAAATTTAAGTTGCTGTTGTTACCGACCAATGACCTGCTAAATAGTACACGGGTACATTATTACCTGCCCATCATTATTTTGTGATACTTACCGTCAATAACAAGTGCTATGTCTATCAATTTTTTTGTGACGGATGG